TTTGATTGTATCTTTTTTATGGATCATATTTGTTTGATTGGTATTATGCAATAACATGTGAATAAATAAATCATTAAAATATTAGAAAAATTAATGCTAGAAAAATAGAATAGTTCTCGACCATTTTCACTTTCAAATTAATCCACCATGTTTAGATTAAGGCTTGAGCATGTTCATCATATTTTGAACGTCCATCCTTACTCAATGTTCCAACAAGGCCGACATGAGAATCTTGACAGGGACGTTCTGGATAATTACCTGAAACCGTTACTATGGCTTCACTGCAAAACTCGAAATATCATATGAATCCTTCAACGACTATTATGTTGAACGAAATCAAAGTTCCATGATGCCCATCCTTCAACAATGCTATGTTGGCGGCTGGTAGAATTTATCCTTTCGTGAAAATCGATCTACTTGAAGGCCACGAAGAATGAAGATGGCATTCGATAATCCAAGTAATTTGTGATTTTAATCTTCATTCTTTTTATAATTTTTTTATTTAGGATACAAGAAAATATTTTTTTGAATCATTAACATTTCAAGAACAAAATCTTCATTAATGTTTCGTTTTCATATAGGTTATTTGTCACAATTCCGTAGTCAATTGCAACTTTTTTATCCAGAAGGGGAAGAATTAGGAGTGGTCAATTATCAAAATCTTTCACCATCAGTTCAGAAAATTTCGGAAGGATTACTACATTAGGCCTATTTATGCCCGATCATGGAACAAGTAATATATTACTATTTCATAGATTACTTAAAATTAAAGAACGTAGTATATTTGTTTCTAACGTCTGGTCTATGTCACAGTTCATATTAGTCTAAGGAATTTACGTGTCATGTTCTACACCCCTGGACAGGATATTACACTTATGTGAGAGATATTGTCTAAAACTAAATTATCATACATTTTAAGTATTATAATTATTTCATCTCAATTTAAATTCAACTACTGTTTTAAGTATTTTTAGACCAATCTAAATTACATTATGGGAACAAAAAAACCATTAGTCAAAAATATTATTCTCTGTTTTTTAAAGTTGGGTTTAAATATTAGTTTGGGTTTTTATCTTGTTTTGCTAATTTTATTTCTGGTTCTAACTCTGAGTTGTCATTGATCTTCCCATGAATAATTAATTTAGTGATTGACTTTAATTTATTCACGAGAAAAGGAGTTATTTGTCGACGTTTTGCAAAGAGGAGAATGAATTCTTAAACCCAGTTTATTTTTCAATTAATTGTCACGTCAAGCAAATACGATATCATTTTTCAAGACACCTGATTCTCATTGTATTGTACTTTCTATCCCTGCTAATTGAATCCCTGAAGCTCAATATCTGATTGGGACTCACTCTTGAGCTCGTCAAGCCATCGACCAACACTGTCGAAAGTGGAGCGGCGGCTGATATCGTAGACGATGAGAGCATCGACAGTACTGCAGTAGTATGCAGAGGTGAGACGGAGACGATTCCGAAAAAGCCCAGGGAGGGAGAATGAGGACGAGAGGAGAAATTAGGTCTTCGACTGACAAGAGGGAGATCCATTGCTAGAGGGAGAAACACACTGGGGGAAGCATAGCGAACGAGAGAAGAAATTAGGTCTTCAACTAGTGAGAGGCAGATTGTCGATCAGGAAGGAGAAGATGAATGAGAGGTGATGTGAAAAGGCCGCTGGGAGAAGAGGGAAAATAGAAGAGGGAGATTGTAATCCTCCCTTCTTAGAATCAATATGCTTTAGTTTCTATCTCCCTTTTCACCACTATTGGAATAGATGGAGTATTTTGCTACTCGATTGAAATAGCATATGGATTAAAATTATAGAACCAAAGAATTTGTTCTTTACTTTCTTTTTTTCTTTGAGTTGTTAGTTTCTTGTAGTAGTATAGTAGTAGTTCTCTGCAACCAGAACTACTACTACCATCCCTATTCAAGGGAATTTCAGATTATTGGTTGTATGATGCCTCTTTTAACGAGAGTCCTACTGGGTAATTTGAAAACAACATCAGAATTTGCCATAGTGGAGCATTATTCTCTTAGCAAGCTGCCTTCATTTCCACTGTTTCATAGTTAAAAATTCAGAGTGAACTTGAGGAGTATTAGTGGTGCAATTGCATCCAAGGTCCATTGTTTCTGTTTTCTGATTTGAAAACCATGGCCATTCATGTCCGTATTGCGTTATTGTGAAACTTTTTCTTGTCAATTAAATGCAAACTCTTTTAAAACAAACAAAGTCCAACAGTACATGAGAAATAGTCACAAAAGTTTCTATTTGTGTTCATTTTGTAAGGTTTCATTATTTAGTGAGCCGGCTTTTTCGTAGATTTTGAAAGAGTTTTTATATTTTCATGTTAAATAACTACTTTTGTTGTTAATGCTTTATTAAGTCATTTTTTCATACTTCTTTGCAGGATAGATTTTCTATGTCAATATTGTTTTATGATTGGGAAGAAGAATTTGGTGGTGTTGTTTTCTTTTGTTTTATGTAAGCGAAGCAAAGTTTTATGTTTTTGCTCCTATTCTACTCCTTGATTCCACTCATTTACCTTTTTTATGTTTATGATATATATATATATATATATTCTTTTTGTGGTTAGTTCAATATTCCTAATCTCCAATTTGGAATGCTAGATTCGCTCCTTTCACTTGGCGATGATCTCCTAAAGGTACTTTTTTCCAATATGCATCGACACTAAATATGCATTCAAGTTATAAATTATTTGTATCTCACTAGGTAACATGAACGTTTTAAAATTGATTTTAATTGGAAAAGTTAGTTTTTGTTTGGTAATTGAAGGTTTGTGATACATGAAATAGCTTTCTCGGCCTATTGTATTGGTAATTACCATGAGGTGTATCGAATGATTGTTGTGGTGGCTTATTCTTGTGTTGTTGTGTGATTGTTGTACCACACGGATCTTGTACTTATAATGATTTGGAACTATTTATTCTTCTCAATAAACATAAAACTTTGTTTCCTTGGCTGCTTTTTATGATGAGTTTTGATATTGCTTATTTATACTTCTAGAATATCTAAGTTTAGCTAGTGGCTGATCTTTAGTATTTGGATGTAATGTCTTGAATGATTGCAATTAGCAGGTTATTATTTCTTTGCTTCTGTAACATTTCATTCTTCCTCTTTATATATTACAAAAACTAGGGGCTTAATCCATGGCAGCGGGGATGAAATTTTTTTTATCGTAAAGGCGCATTCTCTCTTATTATATTTTCGTTAGTAAAACATTATGCTTGTTGACAAGGTCAAGATCTTTTTGTTGAAACATGGAATCAAAACTTATTTTTATGAGTAATATGTTTGATCAAACTTAAATAGAATTGAGTTTTTTTAGCTGTGGATTAGTATGCATTCTATTGAGTTTCAGTTCTTCCAGCTTGTAAGAGATAATTCTTGCAAGTTTTCTTCTTTAGTGAACTTTTTCTTTTGTTTTTGTATCTCTGCATTTGGTAGAAAGCTCATCATTTGAAAGTCGTAAAATCCAAAAAAATGTTAAAGGGACTAAGTTTTTTCTTGTTATTCTATTTGCTCCCTTAAGCTTGTGGGCATTCTTCAGGAGCTTGAAGCAACTACTTAAAAGGAAAAGTTTGAAGCAACTGCTTGAAAGGAAAAGTTGGAGCTAGAGGAACTTTTCGGCACGACACAAAGAACTACCATTAGATGTGAGTTAGGTTACATCACATCCCTTGTTTAGAAAGCATATAAAGTTGGACCTTCACCATGCCCAGGTTGGTTTACTGCCTTTATCTTTCTTTTTTACTTGAAATTTCAGCTCTACCTTTATATATGTGTGGTTTGATGTTAAGAGTTAATGATCAGGTTAGTTTGAGTTTACATATGAGTTCATTTTCACATAATATATATTTTTCTATTATTCATTTAGCTAACTTGATATTGTTTTCTTCTTTACATATTGCACGAACTTAAAAATGTTAAAAACCATGATTGCAACTAATTGATTTATGGAGTTTGTTAGGTTAGTGTGTGAAACATATATATGTTAGTTAGATGCTGACATTTGACCCCTTCAAATTTATATATTGTGGGCTGATTTAGATATTTGTATAAGATTGATATTTGTTGTAATGAGTATTTAAGATTCGTATGTATATGCAATTGTTGTTCTTTTTATCTATATCATTGAATCATCATAATGATTGTTAAGGAAGTTGTGTGATTATCTATTACTCAAATGTAATGCATGTTGGAGTTAGAAAGAAATGTGAGAGTTGGAGTTAGAAAGAAATGTGAGAGTTGATATTAGATATTTTCTTAATCGTTCATTTTTATTTTGTTGAAATAGTAGGTTGGTGGGAGCATCATTTTGAGAAAGGATAATTTTTGGGGAATAATTTTGGCGTAGCTGCAACATGTACAATGTTGATGTAATGTAATATAGTTTGTTGGGTTAGTGTATGAAATATAGGTTTCTTTCTCTTATTGTAGTTATAGATATTTGTATAGAATATTGTTTATGCAAGAGTTTGCACAACGGTTCTTCACGAATCAAGCTCAAACCCGGTCCCCGATTCCGACCTGAACACTAGAGTGGACCTGCACAAGAGGGTAAGCACTCCGACGCTCAAGTCAGTATAGATCGGACTCTGTATGTAGTTCGAGGTGAGATTCGATACCTGAGCGTGAAATGAGTCCCTTTATTTATAGGTGGCGGATCCGACAGTACTCACGACCGGCGGTTATATGTCTTTTCTCATGTCGAACCTGTCGAGTTCCAAGCAGGTCGGGCCCCAGCCAGGTCGAACCTTGACGCCTATACTTAGCCTTTTATAATGGGCGAACCCGGTCTCCTCGGCAGGGCCGAGGTGGACCTAGGCAATCCCTTCTATTCAATTTCTTCAAACACCAATAAGGGTCCTCTACGTGTCCTGGGTATGTTTACCCCCAAACATTGGCCCTCTCTCTGTCAGGTTCGATATCGACCTGGCAGAGAAGTTCATCCGATTCCATTCTGGACACGTGGCGACTTTTCATCTGTAGAGGAAATATGACCGTTGCGGAAGACGTTTCGATCTGCCAGGTTGTCGGAGCACTCAAGTTCCGTCGTTACAGATCTCGAGATGATCCCAGCCGCTGGTTGATTACACGTGTACAGTGCAGAGGTTTTTCTGATGAACTATAAATAGTCCTGACACTTCAGGTCAAACCTTACGTTTCCTGAATTTCCGGAGTTCGATCTGAAACTAGCTCGAACCCTTTCTTTAGGTCAGTCACTTTTCCTTGTTATTCTTCTTCAAACATGGTAGTTTTCTTGTCCTCCCCGTCCAGTAGTGATAGCATAGGTAGTGCGGGTCGGACCATAAGTAGTTCGCCCCCTAAACCAAGCGATTATGGGGAGGTCTTAGCTCGTAGGTTAGAATCCGAGCTGGAAGAAATAGAGAACTTTAGGTTCTCAAATGATGGAGAGGATAGTGATACCTCCACCTCGGGCCAGGGTTTGGAGTATCCTTCAAAGATGCCCGAACACTATCTTGGACCCCTCCGTAGGGGGTTTAAAATTTCATGATATCCTTCTTAGGATTCCGGATGAAGGGGAAAGAGCTGACAATCCTCCAGAGGGATGAGTCACTCTTTATTTAAAGATGTTTGAGTACGGCCTCAGACTTCCCCTTCATCCTTTTGCCCAGGAGTTCTTAAACCGAACTGGACTGGCTCCTGCTCAAGTGGCCCCCAATGGGTGGGGTGTCATTTTTGCTTTAGCCATTCTTTTTTGGTTGCGAGCTCGGGATGAGGACGAGGCCGAGCTACTAAGTGTAGAGCAACTTCTTGGATGCTTCGAAGCCAAGAGGATAGCTAAGAAGCCTGGTCGGTACTACATGTACGCAAGGAAAGGCGCCAAGGGGCCGACCTCCATCAAAGGATGGGTAGGGAAGTGGTTCTTTGCCTCAGGTGAGTGGCTGGCAAAGGAAATGACGAGTCTGGTCGTGCCTTCTTTGATATTCCCACTAGGTTTGGGAACTTAGGTATGGAGTCTTTCTTGTTTCCTTTCCTTTTAATTTCTTGCCTTTCACATCTAACTCGAACCTTTGTTTGTTTTGTGCAGTATCAATCAAGCCGATTCCCGAGCTCTCTCAAGCCACCTTCGACACCCTCAAACACTACAAGGACCACTTCCCAAGGGGCCGGAAGATCGGAACCTTGGTCACTGACAAGCTGCTCCTAGAGTCGGGGCTGCTGGACTACAACTCTTTAGTTCATCCAATTGAAGCTTCGAGGCCAAACTCCAAGCTCGGTAAGCCGTGCTCGTTCTCAATCTTCAATTTTAACTTTTCCTTTGGTCTCTAACTTTTTGTTTGTTTTGCAGCAATGGTGTGCGGATTCACTGGCAACGTGAAGCGCAAGTCCAAGGGCCGTGCTCACGCCCTCAAGACCGTGGTGGGTATGGAACCGGCGACGCCTATCGTGCCGCGGACTGAGGCCCATGGTTACTCTGGGCCATCTTCTGCAGTCCCCACCCCCGTGATCGAGCTAGACTTATCTGGGGATCGATCTGGAGAGAAGCACCCAAGGGAGGAGTCCGAGGCGCTTGACATATCTCCCCTGAACGAGGTGAGGGGAGAATCTCCTTTGAGAAGAAGAAGAATGAAGAAGAAGACTTCCTCCTCCTCGGA